CCCTCCACCCCCTCCTCAATACCCAATGCTCCCTCCTCATGCTCCATCCTTCCCTGTACCCTTCTCCGTACTCCTTCCCCCCCTTTTCAGTCCCCCACACACCTCCTCCACACTCCCTTCCTCCTCCCGCCCCCTTCCTCCATGCCATCTCCAGTATGCTGCTCTGTCATACCGCAATGCTCCCTCTCATGCCTCCATCCCTCCCTCCTCCCCACCCAGCCCCCCATTCCCTCCGTACTAGCCTCCTGCCCCCCCTCAGTGCCCACACTCTCTCCTGCACGACTCCCTCCCCCCTCCCTCTCCTTGCCCCCCCCCCCTCCCCCCCAGCACTCCTCCCTCCCCCTCCTCTGAGAGGGCCGAGGCCCCTGCGCGGACACCCAGCCTGCCCAGGCGACGACGACAGCAGAGCCGACGCGGGCGACGCAGACGGCCACCACAACGACGTCGACGCCGACGACCACGAGATCGGGCAGGTCCTCCTACAGGGGAACTCTGGACGCGAACTCAAGAACAAACAGAGACTCCAAAACAACTTCAATAATGACCGAACCTAGGTTTGAAAACGTCGCCCCCAGACTACTTGTTGGACTAGTTTTGAATACTCCCCCTGCAGAGGGACACGCCCGACTCTGAGCGTCGACGCCGACGACCGTCGCCACGCGGCCGCGCGAGTCCTGCGCCCCGTCCGGAGCGCCCGCCTCCTGGAGGGCGCCCCCCCCCGCCGAGGGGGCGGCGCGCGAGAGTTGCCCGGAGGGCAGGAGGAGGTCCGCTGCTGCGGCAGGTGGGCGAGCGCACGCCGGGGGCGAAGACTGGGGGGCAGGTAGGTCCAGTCGGCCTTGATTGGACAGGACACGCGAGAGGACACGAGAGACCCTTCCGAGGGCCACACTGCCACAGGAATGTGAGAAGCATGGGTCGCGAGACGCAGGACACAAAGGTACCCTTGAGTTGGCGGGGTCGACCTGCTAATCCGGGCCGACTGTAAGACGCTGACCTGGGACTGGGTCCGTGCTCGTGCTGAAAATGAGGCTTCACCTGTGCAAGATTGGGGAGAGAGGGGGGAGGGAGAATGGTGGGAAAGGGGGGGGGGGAAGGAGGAGGCGCCTGCCTTCACCTCCGGAGGTCCCTCGCTTTTCACTTCCCCTCGTCCCGCATTCCCCCTCCCTATCAGGGAGTCATCGCTTCTCTCTCTCTCCTCCTCCTCCTCCTCCTCCTCCTCCTCCTCCTCCTCCTCCTCCTCCTCCTCCTCCTCCTCAGGACGTGAAGGGGACGGAGGAGGGTGAAGGGGGAGACAGAGAAACAGGAAATGGGGGAGGAAAGGGGGGCGGGCAAGTCGAGGATGAAGGGAAAATGGAGCGGAGGAAGGATCGCAAACACAAAGAGAAGAGAGGGATGATAACGGAGATCATGAGACGGGGCAAGAACGGGAAGGGAGAGGGAAAGGATAAGGTGCATGTGCAGGAAAGATGCGGAGAGAGAAAGGGGAAGTGTCAGAGGCATGCCAAGAGAGGTGAAGAGCAAGGCCCCCCCAACGTTAAATAAGGTAGGTGAACAGTGTTCTTCCCTATCCTCCGCTTCCCTTCCTCCTTCTCTTCGATGCTACAGCACCATTGTTACTTACCCCTCCCTTTTCTGACCCCCTCCTCCACCACCCCGTCATCCCTGGTCCTCCCCCTCCTCCTTCTCGTCCTCTTCCTCATCCTCGTCCTGATCCTAAGCGTCATCCTCATGCCCATCCTCCATCACTGCTCACTATTGTTTAACACTCCCCTCCCCCCAACCGACCGGCAGCCAACCCGTCCCCATGCCAACGCTCCCTCGACTTCCCTGCCAACAAAACAAACAAATACAATGTGCCTCCAAATCTGGAGCATGCGCGGGCGCCCGCGCCCACTTTGCTTTGGCTTTTGACAAAAACGGCGGGGAGGCCCGATATTGATTGCTGCGCGTATGCCAACCATCCCTGTCAAAAACATGATCGACCCACGAACCCGGAAAGGAATATAGAAACGTAACGCATGGCAACGTTTTCAAAGACACCTGATTGGGTGACGGGCAAATGCAATGCTGATTGTATCGATCGTGACGTACCGTGCCGAGGGCTGTGCTGTGCTGCACCGTGCTGAATTGCGATGTGCCATGCCGCGGTTGTGCTCTACAGCGTCGTGGATCGAGTCTTCCTTTGCATCCGAGTCCTGACCGAACTGATCTGGATCTTAAGCTCGAGCTGCCTGAACACATAGAAGCTGCCCCAGAGCTAATTGACAGGGGGGCATGCCAGGAGGACGCGCCGCGAAACGTCCCAAGGGACGCGCCAGGCGACGTGCCAGGGGACGTGCCATGGGGTCGCACCGTAGGACGTGCCAAAGGGACGCGCTACGGAACGTGCCAATGGATGTGCCACGGAATCTGCCACGCGACGCGCCACGCGACGCTGACTGGGTGGGTGCAACGCAAGGAGGAGGGGGAGGAGGGCCACGAAACGCTGTACTGGGTGGGGGGGACGCATGCGGACGGTAGACCTGGAACCTTCGGTGGAGCTCCCTATATGGGGGGCCCACGAAACGTTGTATTGTACCGCTGGGTGGGGGTGAAACGCAGGGAGGAGGGGGAGGAAGGAGAGGCCACGAAACGCTGTACTGGGTGGGGGGGACGCATGCGGACGGTAGGCCTGGAACCTTCGGTGGAGCTCCCTATGGGGCCACGAAACGGTGTACCGGGTGGGTGAAACGCAGGGAGGAAGGGGAGGAGGGCCACGAAACGCTGTACTGGGTGGGGGGGACGCATGCGGACGGTAGACCTGGAACCTTCGGTGGAGCTCCCTATGGGGCCACGAAACGGTGTACCGGGTGGGTGAAACGCAGGGAGGAGGGGGAGGAGGGCCACGAAACGCTGTACTGGGTGGGGGGTACGCATGCGGACGGTAGACCTGGAACCTTCGGTGGAGCACCCTACGGGGCCACGAAACGATGTACTTGGTGGGTGAAACGCAGGGAGGAGGGGGAGGAGGGCCACGAAACGCTGTTCTGTGTGGGGGGGAATGCATGCGGACGGTAGACCTGGAACCTTCGGTGGAGCTCCCTATGGGGCCACGAAACGCTGTCCTGGGCGTGGGGGACGCATGCGGGCACCCCCACTGGGGCCTTCGGTGGAGCTCCGTATGGGGCCACGAAGCGCTGTGCTGGGCGTGGGGGACTCATGCGGACCCCCCACTGGGGCCTTCGGTGGAGCTCCCTATGGGGCCACGAAGCGCTGTGCTGGGCGTGGGGGACCCCCCACTAGGGCCTTCGGTGAAGCTCCCTATGGGGCCACGAAACGCTGCCCTGAGCGTGGGGGACGCGTGCGCGCCCCCCCCACCCACCCACCACTGGGGCCTTCGGTGGAGCTCCTTATGGGCCACGAAACGAATCAGCCATGGCGATGCCGATGATGACGATGATGGTGATGGTGGTGATGATGATGATGCTGATGCCGATGCTGCTGCTGATGCTGATGCTGATGCTGATGCTGATGCTGATGATGATGATGATGATGATGATGATGATGATGATGATGATGATGATGATGAAGAGGAAGAGGATGAGGATGAGGATGAGGATGAGGATGAGGATGAGGATGAGGATGAGGATGAGGATGAGGATGAGGATGGAAGGATATGATGAAATGATAATGATGATGATGATGATGATGATGATGATGATGATGATGATGATGATGATGATGATGATGATGATGATGATGATGATGATGATGATGATGATGATGATGATGATGATGATGATGATGGGGGAGAGAGGGGGTGAGTGAGACATGCGGAGAGCAAAGGCAAGGATGGGGGCGGAGGGAAGAGGAGGAGAGGAGGAGGAAGGAGGAAGGAGGTGGGACGCGGGGCGCTGTCTCTTCAAAACGAGGACCCAACACCACAGGATGCTTGGGAATAGTATGGAGACTATCTTTTGGGAATATGTTTTGACCATTTTGGAATACTCTTTAAAATATTCATTACCTAACAGCTCTTGCTGATAGGTTTCTAGTGGTCTCAAAAGAGAGCGTCATGACTCCTCAGGGGGGTCTGGGCGGGACCCGGGGAGGCTGCCGGCGCTCTGCCGCCGCCACCCAAATCGCCTCAGACATCCTCGCAAAATCGCTCTTGGCGCTCCCATAACTCCATTCCCGGGCCACATTTTGGATGCCCGGAGCCAACTGTAGGCCACTTCGTGGTCTTCGAGTTCCCAGAACTCCATTCCCGGGCCACATTTTGGATGCCCGGAGCCAACTGTAGGCCACTTCGTGGTCTTCGAGTTCCCAGAACTCCATTCCCGGGCCACATTTTGAATGCCCGGAGCCAACTGTAGGCCACTTCGTGGTCTTCGAGTTCCCAGAACTCCATTCCCGGGCCACATTTTGAATGCTGAGGCAGGCTGATGCTGAGGCTGAGGCAGGCTGAGGCTGAGGCAGGCTGAGGCTGAGGCCGAGGCTGAAGGCAGACTGAGGCTGAGGCTGAGCAGGCTGAGGCTGAGGCTGAGGCAGGCTGAGGCTGAGGCTGAGGCTGAGGCGAGGCTGAGGCAGGCTGATGCTGAGGCAGGCTGAGGCTGAGGCTGAGGCTGATGCAGGCTGAGGCTGAGGCAGCCTGAGGCTGACGCCGAGGCTGAAGGCAGACTGAGGCTGAGGCTGAAGCAGGCTGAGGCTGAGGCTGAGGCAGGCTGAGGCTGAGGCAGGCTGAGGCTGAGGCTGAGGCAGGCTGAGGCTGAGGCTGTGACTGTGACTGCCGTTGCCACTGCGACTGTCATCGCGAATGCGACTACGACTGCGAGAACAGCAGAATTCTACAACTGGATTCCCATCTGAATCTTAAGGGGAATGCTTCCAGATATGCTCCTACACATCGCTGTTAGGTTGCTTTGCCGGGAAAACCCCCCTGTAGGGGGACACGCCCGACTCAAGCACAGCGCGAGGGAGTCCGGGTCTGCCCCCCCCCATCCCTCCCCGCCCGCCGGCTCCTCGCGGGGAGAGGCCCCCGGCGGCGACGCCACCCGCGGCGACGCCGCCCGCGGCGAGCCCGCGGGGGAGCCCGCGGGCGTGCGCACTGCCGCCGCCTCCGCGGCGCGCGCGCGCGCGCCGGCGGCGACGATCGCTCGGACGGCGGCCGGAGGGCAGCGGCTGCGGCGGCGGAGGGGGCAGCGGCGCACGGTTTTAGCAGGGCGTCCGAAACAGTGAGGATTTATCACATATCTATAGATATGTACTATATCTATACATAGGCACGCACACACAGATACAGACATACAATCAGAGCCCCGAATCATCAGGGGTAGCTCGGGACAGGGCCAACTCGGGTTCGTGTTTCGGGAATCCAAACCCCAGTTACCCCGGACCCGAGTTACCCCGGATAACTCGGGCGCCCAATACAAATGCATAGCTGCGCATCCTTATCTAGATACAGTACCGTGCTGCCCAGAATGGCCCCCTGCCAATTTCTAGACACATGCGTTCTGCAGCTTCCGGTGTGCAAGCCGTGTTGCGCCATCGGTGCGGTGCAGGTTGCGTGGTGCACATCAGCGTGGTGCAGTCTATGTTGTGCACCCCATGTGGTGCAATCTACTTGGTGCACGGAGTGCGATGGGGCGACAGACTGGCCCGCAGGCCCAGACGACGGGCGGCAGACGAGGGAGGTGAATCAGCAGAGGAAACAGAAGATCAGAGACATGTGGCGTGGGGACAGGTGGACTCGGGAGGGGGAGCTCGAACCAGGGGGGGTGAGATCGGAAGCAACATGGAGAAAATAAGAGGGACATGCGCCCAACACCCTGCCCCCCCTTCTCCAATCTCATCCCTGCTGCTACTCTCCTTTCGCTTCCCCCACCCCGCCATCCTTTCCGCTTCCCCAGCCCTCCCTGACCACTCCCTCCCTATCCGAATTCCCCTCCACTTCCCGATCCGTTACTCCCTCCCTCCCCTTCCTCCGTTCCCCTCCGCCCTCCGCCGTAGCGCTGCCCCCCAATCCCGACCAGCGACGAACCTGGCGAAAAACCACCCCTCATCATCCTTGTCCAAAGGAGCAATACAACATGCAACATATTGCAAACAAAATATGCTAACGGAGTTCCCCACATAAAGATGTTACGGGGTTCCATTGCTTCTTGTCTGCGCTCTGGTGGGGCCTCCCTGGAGGGGTGGGAGGGGCACGAAACCTGATGAATAATATGGTGTGCGAATACCCTGCCCGCTCTGGTGGGGCCTCCCTGGAGGGGTGGGAGGGGCACGAAACCTGATAAATAACATGGTGTGCGAAAACCCTGCCCGCTCTGGTGGGGCCTCCGTGGAGGGGTGGGAGGGGCACGACACCTGATAAATAACATGGTGTGCGAATACCCTGCTCGCTCAGGCGGGGCCTCCCTGGAGGGGCAGGAACGGCACGAAACCTAATAATCAAATATGGCGTGCGAATACCCTGCCCGCTCTGGCGGGGCCTCCCTGGAGTGGCGGGAGGGGCACGAATCCTGATACATAATATGGTGTGCGAATGCCCTGCCCGCTCTGGTGGGGCCTCCCTGGAGGGGTGGGAGGGGCATGAAACCTGATAAATCATATGGTGTGCGAATACCCTGCCCGCTCTGGCGGGGCCTCCCTGGAATGTTGGGAGGGGCGCGAAACCTGATAAATAACATGGTGTGCGGATACCCTGCCCGCTCTGGTGGGGCCTCCCTGGAGGGGTGGAGGGGCACGAAACCTGATAAATAACATGGTGTGCGAATACCCTGCTCGCTCAGGCGGGGCCTCCCTGGAGGGGTGGGAGGGGCACGAAACCTGATAAATAACATGGTGTGCGAATACCCTGCTCGCTCAGGCGGGGCCTCCCTGGAGGGGTGGGAGGGGCACGAAACCTGATAAATAACATGGTGTGCGAATACCCTGCTCGCTCAGGCGGGGCCTCCCTGGAGGGGTGGGATGGGCAGGATACCTGATAAATAACATGGTGTGCGAACACCCTTCCCGCTCTGGTGGGGCCTCCCTGGAGGGGTGGGAGGGGCACGAAACCTGATAAATAGCATGGTGTGCGAATACCCTGCTCGCTCAGGCGGGGCCTCCCTGGAGGGATGGGTGGGGGGGCAGCGAATACCTGATAAATATCATGGTGTGCGAATACCCTGCTCGCTCAGGCGGGGCCTCCCTGGAGGGGTGGGAGGGGCACGAAACCTGATAAATAACATGGTGTGCGAATACCCTGCTCGCTCAGGCGGGGCCTCCCTGGAGAGGTGGAGGGGCACGAAACCTGATAAATAATATGGTGTGCGAATACCCTGCTCGCTCAGGCGGGGCCCCCCTGGAGGGGTGGGAGGGGCACGAAACCTGATAAATAACATGGTGTGCGAATACCCTGCTCGCTCAGGCGGGGCCCCTCTGGAGGGGTGGGAGGGGCACGAAACCTGATAAATAACATGGTGTGCGAATACCCTGCCCGCTCAGGCGGGTCCTCCCTGGAGGGGTGGGAGGGGCACGAAACCTGATAAATAACATGGTGTGCGAATACCCTGCTCGCTCAGGCGGGGCCTCCCTGGAGGGGTGGGAGGGGCACGAAACCTGATAAATAACATGGTGTGCGAATACCCTGCTCGCTCAGGCGGGGCCTCCCTGGAGGGGTGGGAGGGGCACGAAACCTGATAAAACATGGTGTGCGAATACCCTGCTCGCTCAGGCGGGGCCTCCCTGGAGGGGTGGGAGGGGCACGAAACCTGATAAATAACATGGTGTGCGAATACCCTGCTCGCTCAGGCGGGGCCTCCCTGGAGGGGTGGGAGGGGCGCGAAACCTGATAAATAACATGGTGTGCGAATACCCTGCTCGCTCAGGCGGGGCCTCCCTGGAGGGGTGGGAGGGGCACGAAACCTGATAAATAACATGGTGTGAGGAAAGGCATGGTATGGTATGGGATGGTGGATGCATGGTATGGTATGGTAAGGTATGGTATGGAGTGGCATGGTATTGGTATGGTATGATACAGTATGGGATGGTGGAGGAAGCGGGAGGAGGAGGAGGAGGAGAGGATGTTCTGGGAAAACAAGAACCCCACTCAGGATGTGCGGAAAAACCCTGGATCACGTTCGCGAGCCCGGCAACCACTCTAAATGTTTGACCAAAACGACGGGTGGGGCAGCAGTGCATCAGATGCCCCGCATGCGTAGGCCGACCATCCGTGTCAAACACCCATGCGAAGCGCACGCTGCGGGGGCGCTCCGCGACCATGCGCGGGCGTCCCGCGATCATGTGCGGGCGAGCCGCGATCATGCTGAATGCTCTGCGACTGGGATGCGCGGGGTGCCTTGACGCGCGCGGCGCACTTCGCAGGCCTCGCGCACCTGTCTGGCGCCACCGCCGGCTCCCGACGCCGCCCTTGGGCTCATGCCCATACCCCGGCAATACTAAAATGGTGGGAGGGCGCGAGGGATTGGACGCGACGGCCGTCCTTCGGGGAGGGGGGGGCGGTTGACCTGTGGTGCGTATGAATATACACCCCCCTCCCCCACACGACGGGCGACAAGCCCGTGCCAACGACCGCGCAACCATGCCAGACGCGTCACGAGCACTGCAGAATCGCACGTGGCAGCGGCGTGCGGACCGCGCGCGGGCGCCCCGCGAACACTCCGCACCGGCTCGCGAGAAAGGACCGCGCAGGGGGCCGCTGTGCTGCCGGCCCCGCGCGAGCCCGCCGTCTCTTCCGAAACTCCGTGCGCCGTGCACTGCTGGCCAAGCTCTGGCCCGTGCGCGGGCGCCCCGCGGTTGTGCTGCTGCGCGCGCGCTGCGCCAGGGGGCGGCGGCGGGGGTGCCCTCACGATGCCCCCGTGATGCAGGCCCACGGCCCCTCGGCAGCGGCACGCAGAGCGATCCCTGCCCGAACACGGTGCAAAAACGCACCGCGTGGCAAGATGTGGATCGCTCGCGGCCGCCCCACTGTCAGCCCGCACTGGGCTTTGGCAGGGACAGCGGCGGTGCCCTTGTCTAGCCCGCCCCCTGTCAACGCGCCTTGCGAAGTACACGGTGCGAAAAACATCTGGTTCATGCGAGGGCCCCCCGCGATGAGTGTTCGCTGGTCTCTGACCAGGGGGCCGCGGGGTTTTGCCAACGTGTTGGAAGCTCTGCGCCAACCGAGCACATGTCGCACGTTTAGTGCATTGGTAGGTACTGGCGCTTCGGGCCCCACCCTTGTCAGCGAATGCTCGGCGCAGGCGGTTCCGACGGAGCCCTCACTCATGCACTCGTGGGGATCGAGGCCCTGGGCTGTGATTCTTCCTGTGTGTGGAGGGCGGGCGGGGGTCGGCGGCGCGGCCTGTGGCTTGGGGTAGCTCGACCCACACCCCAACCCACACCCTCCTCCACCTCCTTCCCCTCCCTCCTCCAGTCGTGACTCTCCCCCTCCTCCTCCTGGACCGCGAGCCCGCGCACTTAGGCCTAAGGCCACCCCTGGACGCCGACCGGGCAGGCGACACCTCCGCACCCAGACCCCCGACGTCGTGATTTTTTCATGACGCGACCCCCAGAGTTCCGGACCTATTCGCCAGGACCGGTTTTTCACCCCGAGTCGTTTTTTGACGGTCCCGAGGGCCGGTAAAGGCCCCCGGAGGCCGAAAACATAGAAAAACTTCCCGTCGTGATTTTTTCACGGCGCCAGGAGGTCTGGGCAGGCGAAGGCGACCTCCAGCCGGAAGGCGCCGGCCTCCGCCTCCGCCGCCGCGTGCGCGCAGGCGCTGCCAAGCAGCCGCCGCTGGCCTCTCCAAGCCCGCAGCGGCCTCGCGCCCCGGAATCCCGGCCGCTGCCGCCCGCCGCCGCCGCCGCCCCGCTTGCCACGCGGGCGGCTGCTGGCGCGCCGAAGCCGCGGCCGCACACGCGCGCAGGCGCGCACCCGCGCCCGCGCCTTGGCAAAACCTTCCTCCTCCTCTTCCTCGAATCCCCTCCTCCTTCCCCCCCGCCCTCTGCCCCTTGTCCTCCCTCCCCTTCCACCCCACACTGCAAGTGCATCGCTGACCATCGTCCCACTCCTCTCCCTCATCGGCCACGTCCCTTTCCCTCCTCCTCCTCCTCCTCCTCCTCCTCCTCCTCC